AACCTCACTTCTTCAGATGCAAGGGAAGATGCACTTCTTGCATCTGAAGAAGTGAGGTTCTGACCCACGAAAGCTTATGCTCCCAGTACTTCTGTTAGTCTCAAAGGTGCCACAGGACCCTCTGTTGCTTTTTACATAAAACTAAGATTCACCATAATATGCACATAACTCTCCAGAGTTTTTGGGGCAAATGTTAGCAAATATTTTTGTCCCTTTTCCTCTCTTTTATGTTCCACTGGGTAACCCAATAATAAATATCATATACTACTAGTTGTCAATGTCTCAGCCAACAGCCCAAGCACTGCAGCATCCATTTAATAATAGGATTATGCAGTACACTGTCCAGAATTGTAGGTTAATACACTTCTGTTATTAGCAGCATTGCTGAGTTTCTGAGCTTGGTCCCCTCTTCCATTTCCTTATTTTTCCTGGACATCATACATATGGGGCCCAAAAGCCAAGTTTTACTATGATGTGACCCAGCAGGAAATGACGTTTCCTGTATTTTGTGTGTATGTGCACACAATATTAATTACATGTCAGAGTGTATAGGCATCTTTTTGTTATTTAAATCAAAAGAATAAATATACCAGGGTAAATGTTCTGCACGCTCTTTGAAATCAGAACAGTTCTGAATATGAATATTAGGCTCTCCTGAATGTATGCAAGTCAGACCTATGCTCATCCACTGTCTGTACAATATCAGGTTCTCTAGAAGTATCAGAACAAAGTGTTTACATAAAATCCAGTCAGAGTGGTTCTGTTGTAGAGTAAATGGCCAATCAGTTACATTTTGCTGTAATTTTTCAGTACTAGGGCTTTCTTGGCTTTTTTATATATATCTTTCAGAACAAACATAATATTACTCAAAGTACAGACCTTTGTGTCTCAGACTGTCTCCAACTTTGGCTCAAATATGGTGTGGTGCGTAATTAGTAATATGAAATAGTGTTTGTCATCTGTTTTTATCCCCAAGCATTTAAACAGTTAAGAGGTAATGTTAGTGGAATAGAATGTTGTCACAGGATAATAGTCTCTTGCTACTAGATAGGATACTGACGTATTTATGGAAAATAAATGTGGAATCAAAGCCAAGACATTTATTGAAAAAGCAGGAGACATTGTTACTGTAATTTATGTTCTGTTATAACATTTTTGTTATACCAAATGGTTTGTGTAGATTAAAACACTTGGGGCCAAATCCTGCTCTTTGATGCATATGTATGACTCCCCCTGGAAATCAGGAGTGTGCACTTGAAGGAAGAATTTGCCCCTTGATATGATGAATGTTAGTGGTTTAGAGTGATAATTTTCCTAAACAGCATATGCCTTATACTGTACTTTAGAAGTATAGATAGAAAGGTGGGTAGGTAGGACTGCTATCCTGCGTCTGATAGACCTGGAGAACAGAATAATTATGTGCTTAAGCCAGTCAGAGAGGAACATATACAGCTTTACACAAATATCTTGTGGCTTTATGGTGAAGATTGCTTCTGACAGGGTAATGTTAATAGTAATGTTCTTCAATAAGGTATCCAGCAATCTGATTGAATGGCTCAATTTCCATTTTATATAATTATCATATAATGGCATATCTTCTTGGCAGTGCTGCACGTTTGGAATTATTGCAATGCCTTGAAAATTATTTATTTTGATTAGTAGGTACTGCTTTTCTATTTTGTATTAGTTTTCTGTTGTTTTGTAATGGCTAAGAAATGCACTACCTGTTATCTTGTACTTTTGAAAATTATTTGAATATAATCCTACATCAGTGGAAACTGACAAGTAACCTTTTTCTTCTCTCCTATTCAACTTGCTATGACTGTCTCGCTGCAATGTGCATTCCATTCCTCCTCCTTCTGTCTGTACTGTTATCTACCAGTGCTTGGGTACAGAGATAAATGTTTCACTCAGTCAAATTCCAAATCAGCAGCTAAGGGAAGAGTCCATCAAGGTACTGTATTCTCTATCCTGGCAGTATATTTTATTCTACCATCTCCATAGCTAGTGCTATGTTTTCATATATGTTCAAGTGTCAATGTTAGGCAACCTTAACTGCGTTAACAAAGTTTTGTGACTGTGGTTAGCCACACAATTTAGCAAATTTTACATTAACATTTTTACTGTCTAGTACAGAAAGGCCTCCAGATTTTAAATATCCCTTTTAAAATCTATTAGTCCTTGCCAAAAAATTAAATAACAGAAAATCATTCCCCAAAATAGCATTTGCTACTTTTACTACTCAGTAGCAGGGTAACTTAAGAAATATTTTTATCCAGTCTGTGAACTTTCCTGCCAACATTATCAATAATGTTGGTAACCAGAGAGGTAATGGCTTCTGCTGAACTAGAAATACATAAAAGCATAATGTATACCAAATAAGGAAAGTCATATCTTCTAAGATACAAATCTTCTACAAACAATAAGGTACAAAAATTAGATACCAAATAGAAGAGAAAGTCATTAACTTTGTCTTTTTAATCACTGTTACCCATCACTGGTAAATGTACTAGTCTGCATGTATTTGTAATTGGCTCTGTGGCTTTTGATGTGCTACAAGCTATAATCACAGCCTGCTTTGACATTTGCAAAATAGGACTGATATCCTAAGAGATTTTTCTAGTATATAGTCTCTGTGTCCATCTTCTTTGTGGGAATTTACAACCTTTTACACAAAAAATGAACAACAGTTTATTTCTATTATTAAATGACTGCTGTGATTCTTTCTTGAGTAATGAAAACTCCATTATTATTGCTTCAGTGATATATTAGATATGGAACAAAAGCTAACATTAAAGGTAATCTTTGTATAAGTGAGATACTTCATACAACTAGCTTTTTATGAAGGAGGAGCTGTTTAAAGGGTGACTGTTATCAACGTTAAGTTCCTAACAAACCCTTCTCATTTGTTCCTACCTGTTTGTTCACATCTAAAGCTGTGAGCCAGACAAGCAGACAGGCTATGCTGTACAAACAGGCAAGTCCCTGTCTGAGATTTCTCTACAGTATTATTGTTTGAGTAGAAGTACTGTGCTATTTTTAAAAAAAACCTCTGACCTGTTTCAGATATCTCAATGGGATCTCACCACTATCTACAGTTTTTATCATTTTATTTATACAAGCCTCAGTATTGGGTTTTAGTGAGGACTTTTTTCCTTCTTTTTTATTCTTTGTATCTCAGGGCCAAAATTTTCAAAGATGACTAGATATTTTCAGTTCCTCAGCTTTTAGGTGTTCTGCTTCATAAATTTATAAGCAAGAAGGGACCGTTATGATCATCTAATCTGACCTACTGCATAACATAGGCCATAGAATTCACTTGGTAACTTGAACACCAAACTTGAGGCACTTAAAGGGGATTGAATATTCAGAAAGTGCTGAGTTACCCACCTTCTGAAAATTAGATGCCTTTAAGTCACCTCAGGTTGGGCATGCAAAAATTGAGGCATTCAGAATTACTAGTCATTTTTTAAAAATCTTGTCCCAGATTTCTAGCTTGGTTCACTGAGGCACAAAATCACATAAATTAGCGAGAGAAAATAGGTTATCTAGTCCCTCTCTCTACCAACGCAAGGTTGATCACTACTGTATATTTACTGCTGCTTTCTTATATGGAGGTGATATGTCTCGTTGAAGGCCACACGGTGAACTAGAGAGAGAATTGAAATATGATCCCAGGATCTTCTAGGCACCACCATCATGTTTGCTCTAACCACTAGACCAGTGGTTCTCAACCACGGGTTCGGAGCTCCCTAGGGGGCCTCAAGCAGGTTTCAGGGGAGTCTCCAAGCAAGGCCAGCATTAGACTCACTGGGGCCTAGGGCAGAAAGCCAAAGCCCCACTGCATGGGACTGCAGCCCGGGGCCCTGAGCCCACCCACCTGGGGCTGAAGCTGAAGCCTGAGCAATGTAGCTTCATTGGGGCCCCTGTGGCATAGGGCCCCGGGCAGTTGCCCTGCTTGCTACCCCTACCGCCAGCCTTGGCTTTTAGATTCAGAAAAAAACAGTTATTGTGGCACAGGTGGGCCATGGAGTTTTTATAGCATGTTGGGGGGCCTCAGGAGAAAAAGGTTGAGACCCTCTGCACTAGACCATTCAAACGTCTGTCAAAATGTAATTGTGGGGCATATGCCCAAAACAAGGGACGTGCTTAAAATCAGTGTAGACATGAATATTTAAATATTAAACTTCATAAAATAATCCATGATTGTGACTTTAAATACTGTAATTACTATTATTCAAGCTCAAATATGGAATAACATCATGAAGTTTAATATTTGGATTGCTTATGCTGATATAAATTTTAATTACAGTAAGAAGTAATGGGGCACTATGTTATTTCATATGAGGAACTTTCAGTTGTTGAGGAAAAACCTAATGTGATAGCAGGCTATTCCTAGTAGATAAGATCCCAAAACAACAGGCCTGAAGCAAGGAAAGCTATAGAAATTTGTCCATAGTACTGAAAAGATCACTTAGCACTTTCATTAAATGCATATTAATTATTTGCAAATTGTAATGCATCTCAGAACCGTGTATAGATTTTTATAGCAAACACTACTAATACAGCACAATGTTTATCAGTCTGTAGAGTATTAAATGTTCGACTAGTTTTGATTAGGATCGCACATTGTATTTCTGTACTGTAGTTTAATTTGGAGCATTTTAAATGTGGAATTATTCCAATTTGGGATTATTTCTTTCCAATGCATGATATTTGTTCCATTCTATAAATAATCCAAATGATATGTGCAAACACCTTACTTTAAAAAGTATACTTATGTATGCATGCTTCAGTGTGTGTATTCTACAAAACTTCATTTGTATGAGAGAGAGATTGTTTTGTAACATTTTTAATCTTTGTGAAGGTGTATGGGCAAGTCTTCGTTCTAGCAATCGATTTATCAGCACTCAGGCGCCATTCATTGATGTCGGTGCAAGACTAGCAGGGAAAGATAACACAGCGTCATACAGTAACAGTTCATTTTTGCAAAACCAGCTTCTGAAACGCCAAGCTGCCCTCTACATATTCGGAGAAAAATCTCAGTTAAGGGTAATGTCTATCTTCCTTATGAATTAAAAGAATTTTTGTTTGGTTGGGTTTAATTTTTTTATAGATAAATAACAAAAGAATGTTCTAGATCAGTGGTTCCCAGCTGCTGGAAGCGAAGGCCAGTACGTCCCTCGGCCCGCGCTGCTTCCAGCAGCTCCCATTGGCCTGGAGCAGCGAACCGCGGCCACTGGGATCCGCGATCGGCCGAACCTGCGGACGCAGCAGGTACACTAACCAGCCCGGCCCGCCAGGGGCTTTCCCTGCACAAGCGGCGGAACAAATTTGGGAACCCCTGTTCTAGATACAACAGATGGGTAACTTTTTTTAACGTGTAAACTCTCATACAGTATTGGCTATGCAGACACATATCCACAGTGGATCACAGAGTAACATATTTCCTTTTTTGTTCATTTATATTTTAGAATCATTAAGGGTCAGACTCAGACAAGTTGGGAGATTTTGAAATAAAAAGTAAAGCTGATATAGAGGAAAGGGGGGAGGGATAGCTCAGTGGTTTGAGCATTGGCCTGCTAAACCCAGGGTTGAGAGTTCAATCCTTGAGGGGGCCACTTAGGGATCTGGGGCAAAATCAGAACTTGGTCCTGCTAGTGAAGGCAGGGGACTGGCCACAATAACCTTTCAAGGTCCCTTCCAGTTCTAGGAGATGGGATATCTCCATTAATTTATTTATTTTATTTTATTTTTTATAAGTTGATAGATTTCAAAATAGCCTACTTTGGGAGTATGCACAATGTTGGAGGAATGGAAAAAAGTTTTGCTGTTCACATAGAATAGAATAGAAGTATCTAACATCCATTTTTATTGCAGGTGGTGGATGGAGGGAGTATATTTTGGTATCTTTTGCAAGGGTTTTGTAAGAATCATTTTGTACTAGGCAGTTTCTTATGGAAAAAATGAAATGTACATTGTGTTTGGAAATTCTTATCATTAAAGCAATATCTTTGAAAGCATCTTTTCTCACATAGATACTTTGCATGAAGAATATGCTTGTCCGATGAATAATGTGTCATTGTCTTATTCGTCCACAGGGCTTCAAACTTGATTTTGCTTTGAATTGTGAATTTGTTGCTGTTGAGTTCAGTGACATCCGACAGGTGAAAACTAGTTTTAAAAAGATGATGAGGGTTTGTGTTCCCAGTACTATTCCTACAGATTCTGAAGTAACATTCCTTAAGGCACTCGGTGAATCAGAGTGGTTCCCACAGGTAATTCATATGGCAGATGCTTCTAAAATTTATATGTAGTACTGTTTACCCAGAATAAATTCTGATCTCTGCTGACAGAGAAATATGTGTTCTTCTAACCAACAAACCTTTCTCTTTGTTCCTTGTAATTACATTGCATGAAATCAGTTATATCATAATATAGACATTAACTATTATTTTAATACAGCATTAGGAGTTACTGATGTGAGATATATTTGACAACTAGACAGTGTAATTCATTGTCCCTTATAATGTGGAACAAAATGCCGGAATACAAATTAGCTTTTTTACTGTCTATATTAATTTTTATGGCCTTGATTGCATAAACTTTAATTCTTCTGTTTCCTATTAAAGTTAGATAAAAATACAAATCTAGAACAGTGAAATAACTATGCAAGGTGAATAATAAATTGGCTATTTTATTTTAACTCGTACACCCATTCTTCATATCTCATCACATCTCATCGCTGTGTGCTAATTCTGCATTTATGTATATACCTTCATTTAATAGATAAACTAGTCTGTCTGTGAGCTATTAATAGTCAAACATGGAGAAGCTCTCATATAAAAGTCCTTCAGTGCGATTGGTATTTTGAGAAATTCTCTACTAATCTCTCCCTTTCCTGCCCCTTCCCACACACATTCACAGAGATTAACCAAATAAAAATATGATTAGGGATGTCTTTTGCAGGATTCAAGTGAGTGGGGTTGTGGTAAATTAAGCTCTTTGTGAATCATAATAAGTATGAACATTTTTGGACAACTAGATGTTATGTTAAGAAGCTATTGTTGAACAAATACTCTTAAAAATATAATAAAACAGGATAGATCCTTTTTATTGTGATAGCCTCTCAAGGAGAACACTTGCACTAAACAGACAAAGAGTGAATGATGCAGTAGCTCTGGAAATTAAACACCAAGGCCCATATTTTTGCCTGTCCTGTATAGCAGTGCACGGGGGGATTCCTTACACCTCCTTACTCCCTTGTGTTTTTGCACTATGCCAGCACTTCCAATGTATGGGAGATAGTTGGCTTCATAGAGCTGCTGTGTCCACCCCCTTGCTCAGATGGGTGAAAATGTGGGAGAGGATGGAGCCTTGACTCCTTCACCCTGCCAACATACTCAGTAGCATAGTTACACCAGCATGTTGGGGTGCATATGCAGTACTCTGGATATAGATTTGTCAGAGCATGTTCCCTCCTTGAAGAAGCAGGGAGATAGGGAGATTGTGGGAGTCACAGTGTCCCTTCAGCAGTGCTCCAGGTGCACAACAATGATGTGCTTCTCTTGCTTTGGACTAGATCATAATGTCACACATTAGCCCTAATTCAGTATTAAGACATTTTCATGGTGCTAAACTAAAATAATATACAGTGTGGTTATAAATACAAACTGGAAAGCTAATGTGAGTTTATATTTAATTTGCCATTTTTTAGACCATGCCTATGAGAAAACTCAAATCTTCATCCTGTAGATTTGTTTTTAGTATACAGGATTTTCCTCGGCTGGAGAAGAGAGAAATAAATTACACAGTTTGTGTTTTAATCCTGTTTAAAAAGGTTGAATGATTCTTTAAATGGAAGTACATAAATAAGAAAAAATGAAATGTACTACAGTATTTTATTAAGTTAGCATAATGCACATTAGATTCAAATTAAGAAATTTAAAGTAATAATGTTGTGCTTTCATTTAAATATATTCAGCTTGCCGTGTGGCTCCTTTTATTTGAAAGATAACGTAGGCTTCCAGACAGCTACCCTAATACTTATTGTTTGATGGGCTGTTCAATTGTATCTATTACACTTTTCAGTTGCAATTACAGTTATAATTACAATTATTTTCTAAATCCTTAATGACTATGTGAGCATTGAAAGAAGTTGGGCATTTATAATGAGGATGAATATACTTTTTAATCCTCTTCGAGTGATTCCATACATCTATTCCACTGTAGGTATGTGCACTGGTGTGGAGAGTTTTTCCTTGCGTACCTATGGGGCAGTCATGCATGCATCCTGCCTTTCCTTGTGCCCAGAGCCAAGGTGTAAAGGGTGGAGCCACCCCCTCAGTTCTTTCTTAATGTCAGTGGTTGGACATTGTTGTTATGCATTTAGTATGCCCTCTTATTATAGAAAACAAAAACCCTGTATTTACTTTGTTATAGTTCGTAGTGTTTAGTGGTAGGCATTCATCCATTTGGACTTTTCTTTATTTTATTTTATTTTGTTTCAATATTCTAATTGTACTAGTTTGCCCAAGCAAACTTTGTCTCAGTAGTAGGAGAGCTTATGCCAAGATCTCCTAGCTTCAAACCTTGGTCCAGGTGTCACAGGTGATGCCCATTAATACCCCTCACTCTCACTGTTTGAGATGCTTGGCTGAGGACCACATAAGGAACCAGTGTCCAGTCTGCCACAGATTTAAATCAAGGACGAAGAAGCAGAGAGAAGTGCACCTTCAACACTATTGCATGGAATCCACTCTTTGCCTGACATCAGATCCCATTTGGTCTCTGCAGGGGAGCTCATCCAGCACTCCTTCAACGAGTGCTCCCCTCAGCCTTGCCATCTGACAGAAATCTTCACCAGAGTGTCTCTAAGGCAGCACAAGTGCCCTCTGGCTAGCCTCAGCCTGGGACCATCTCATAGTGGCTGTCATAGACTGGAGTTGTTGGCTCCAGTGCCTACTATGGGACCATGGAGATAGGCTGCTGTCTTCAGGGACTGTGAAGGATCCAGCATCTCTTCTGAGTGTCATACAACCTCCTCTCTTAGGGCAGGTCTACGCTACCGCTTGAGTTGATGTAACTTATGTCGCTCATGGGTGTGAAAAAGCCACCCCCCTGAGCGATGCAAGTTACAGTATGTAAGCGCTGTCTACACCGGTGCTATGTCAGCGGGAGATGTGCTTCCACCTCTCGCGGAGGTGGAGCAATTATGCCAACAGGAGAGCGCTCTCCCATTGGCATAGAACGTCTTCACTAGACATACTACAGCGACGCAGTTGCATCAATGTAGTGCTTCTAGGGCAGACCTGCCCTTAGTATCAACAATGCCAGAGGCCTATGCAGCTGTCTTTCAGTACTGGATTCCCCATTTACTCTAGGGCGAGGTCCTCTATCAGTATCAGTGCAAACTAGGCAGACTTTGGCACTGGCATTAGTGACTGCTTCAATGCCCTTGGTCTCCGGGATGGTACCGTCTTGTCAGCATTGTCAACAATGGTATGTAGGCCTCCAATACGTATTCAACAACATTTGGTACCAATAGCTAGAAAGACACTAATGCTGCCACCAGCTCTGTTGTCTTGGGTGCAGATCTTGGTACCAGTCTCCAGTGACTCTTCCCAATGCTGCTCCACCCTGGTCTTCCGAGTACGAGTACTCCTAATCAGAATCAGAAGTGGGTTCTTACACTTCCCGCTGTAAAGAGTCCAGGATGTCATTGAGAATCTGATGGTATTCAGATGGAGGAAAATCTTCACAAACTTGTTTATATTGTACACCCAACTACAAGCAGGGAAGGGAGCCCTCCCTCTAAACTAGGCAATAATGCAGCCTATTAAGTCACTCCAGCAAACTTCATTCTCTGTAAAACATAGCTGTGGTGTTGTCAGTGAGCACCTGTGTAGTCTTGCCCTGATTGTATGGCAGGAACTGCTGTTACTTTTGAAATATTGCATGCAATTCAAGAACATTTATGTGTAGTTTGACCTTATGAATGGACCACATGCCCTGAGCTTGCAGACCCCAGAACTGAGCTCTCCAGCCTAAAGAAGTAGTATCCATTACCAAAATCACAGAGGAGACAGTTGGTCAGAATAGGACCTCCCCTGCACACAATGTTCTGGTCCATCCACCAATCCAGGGATGATGACATTCTGGCTGTGATGCATACCAATTTGTACAGATGGTGTATGTGAGGGCAGTAGCCTGACTTTAGCCATGTCTGCATACCCCAGAGATGGATCCCAGTATGTTGGGTCACATATGTACAGGAAGACATGCACCATACAAGCTTGAGGCAGTTCTGCTGTTAAGCCAATTATCCCCCATTCTGTATTTGTACATTTGGTTTTTCTTCCCTAAGTGTAGCACCTTACAATTATCTTAGTTGAATTTCATTTTGTCGTCTATAGCCCAATTCTCCAATTTATCAAGATCCCTCTGAATTTTAACTCTATACTCCAAAGTGTTGGCAATCCCCCCTAGTTTTGTGTCATCTGCAAATTTGATCAGTTTTCTCTCTATTCCTACATCCAGGTCCTTAATAAAGATATTAAACACCACCAGACACGGAACAGATTCCGGTGGGATCCCATTTGAGACCCCCCTCCAATCTGACATCTTTCCATTAATAGTTACTCTTTGTTTGCAAAAAGCAACAGAGGGTCCTGTGGCACCTTTGAGACTAACAGAAGTACTGGGAGCATAAGCTTTCGTGGGTAAGAAACTCACTTCTTCAGATGCAAGACGGGGAGGGTCTTACCCCCCAAAGCCT